CGGGTTGTCTAACTGAGTTGCCTTAGACAATCTTAGCAGCAGCTTCTGGGTGAGATTAGAATGACTCTGGAAATTCGGTTTCTCCACCCAACTGAAGCAAGTTTCCGCTTAGGTGACTGCCATTGCCACGAAGAATCTTACTAGTTTCTATTCCCCACCAAGTGATCAAAGCTATTACTTCCCTCCATCTTCAAGGTTGTCAGGTGGGGCTATGAATTAGTAAATTGCCTCGAATACTCTGATGTATAAAAAAATCATTTTCTTACTTTGATATGCACAGAAGTCCCACAAAATATGAGTCTCCAAGGAGACTCAAGTGACAGGAGCTAACAGATGGATGGCCTCCTCAGCTACAGGACCTAAGAGTTTGTAGGATTCAGGAAGCCATCAGGAGCACACTTTATGAGACAGTGAGAAGAGGCGCTGTATGGGGAGTAAACGTCATGGAAAGCCTGAATTAAACAGTGTCTCTCATAGCCTAGGCTCAAACTTCCTGTGTAGCCATAACGAACCTTGATTAAAAATGTCATCCGTCTTCAGCTACCAAGTTCTGGAATTTCAGGCATGTGCAACACACCCTGCTAACACTGTCATTACACAGAGAAAGTCAAGAATAAAATATACACATCGTCAGAGGATACAACTATTGATTTTCACTTTCAGTGCAGTATATAATAAGTTACCAGTGATAGTCTGTGCTTTGTTGTGGTACAGGTTCATATTAGATAATTTTGCCCAACTACAAGCTACTATGAATGTCCTGAGTCTAACTGAGGGCAGCTGAGCCATGCTTTTTACCAGGTTGGGTATATACAATAACTCCAAATGAGTTTATTCACAGATAAGCCCCTCTAAATTGAGGTGCATCTGTGCTTTGGTAATGCTGACTTCCCATCTGAGGAAATGACTCAGGAGTAAAGCTGTGGCTTCAGATCCCCAGCACCCACATAAAAACTGGGTGCTAGTGTCTGTGACCCAGAACTGACAGGATTGGAGACGGAAACACAGCCAGCCCAGCCATTTGTCAAGCTTGAGGTTCAGCGAGAGACCCTGTCATTTAAAAAGCAAGGCAGAGAAAAACTCATGAAGACAACTGACGTCAGCCTCTGGCTTCTTCACAAGTGTGTACATATGCAGGCGTGTACATGTACACACACATGACAGTTTATAGTTACAAATTTCTTTGGCTGAAGAACATCTTTTCAAAGCTGTTTGAGAACCTTCAGATTCTCAGACTAGCTCAAAATATGCCCAACACATATGAGAGTGCCATATTTTCATCTACTAAAGTCATATATTGCTGTGACATGTCATGAGCCCCAACATTCCACTCTGAGGCCCTCAGTTCACTTCTTGCCCTAATATTCATTCTGTGTGAACTGTGGATCTTTTAAAAGTATCGTTTTCACAGAATCTTACTGGCTGCTCCCACGCCTCACTGAAGGTCATATGGAGAAACAAAAATGTTGCCACACAGACCAGCAGTTGCCATGGAGACAGTGTCAGTTTATTGAGTATCTACTATGCCCTACATGCTCTTTCCTGGCATCTACACCCCTGAACTCTAAGGTCACTGATTGCAGAGGAGGGTTATTCCAGTTTGGGAGAAGAGGAAACGAGGTGAGCAAAGTTGGTGCTGTGGAGTAGTAGAACCTGCTTGGAGGACTTTCTCACGAAAGTCTTGTGAAACAAGACCACACCTGCCTGTCTTTTGTTCACGGTGCTTGTGAGGGAGGTGAGGGCAGAGGACACAGCCACTTTGCCAAGACACTAATTATTGTATCATCCCTCACACAATTAAAATCCGAGACGCATCTAGCATGCTGGAAGAAATTCCCTGGCCTGCATCCCCTTTATTACAAGTTCCTACTCCAGCATTAGGAAGGAACCCCAGTGTTCCCACAGTACTAGTACTGTTTGTCAGTGACTTGGCCATGTTACTGCCCCAGTAAGGGCCTGGATCCCCACACCTGAGAGTCCATTGCTCAGAAAGCAATGAACACCACTGGCTCCTGAGGAAAGTGCTCCTGCTTCTGCATTGGTAGTCTGACAGGCCAGCTC